TGAATAGCGCAGCCGAAGTAAAGTGAGCCGAACGACATTCGGCTATTCACTCTGGGTCAGCGCGGCTGATTTCAACCGTACATCGGCTGCCTTCGGTCATGCTCTGCATGTTCGGCTGACCCGAAGGTCAGAGGGACTTCGACTCATCCGATCCAACATCTGGATTGGCTGAGCCAAAGCTCCAGCAGCTCACTTGCTGACGTTTGCCCCTATTCTCATAGGGGCTGAAGGGCTGTGATTGAATAGCCGAATGCCACCGAGCGGCATTCGGTTTGGCTATTCTGCTCAGTTCCTCCGACGCACCGACCAGAATAGAAAATAAGTGAAATGAAAAAAAAAAAAGTTAAAAAATTATTTTAAAAATGTAAAAAAAATAGGAAAAAATATATATATTTTAAAGAAAAAAGTATAAAAAAAAGAAAAACAATTGGGCGAAGCTAGTAGTGACAGCTAGCCCAGACAAACTGTTTCCTATTGGCCGGCACCTGCCAGAGTCTTCTAGCAGGTCCCGTTCAATGAATAAGAACTGGGCGGAGCAGGCTGTGATGTCACGGCCGGCTGCACCCAGTTGGTTTTATTTCATGACAGATCAGCGTCCCTAGGTCATTTGGGGACTCTTATCTGTTATTACAACTGGGCAGAGCCAGCCGTGAGATCACGGGGTATTGTGATTAGCCAGTACAGCAGCCCTTCGGTTTGACTGAACCGAAGGGCAGAGGCGGCCAAAGGGAGCCGAGGGATCAGCCGGCTCTTTAGTAAATAACCCCCTAGGTACGACAAGATGGCATCTCTCGGGGAAGAGCGAGAGCAATGCAAATAGTTTTTAGCCTATCTGATTGATGTTCCCATTGAGCGATCACACTTACAGGGTTATTCACTAAAGGGTGAAGAGTTTGGAGAAGGAAGGAGAAGTGAACAATCTAAGACAACATAGCCGAACTGAAAAGTGAGCTGAATGGGAGAATGTTTCTAGTTCAGCTATGTTGTCCTAGATTGTTCACTTCTCCGGCCTTCTCCAAACTCCTCACCCTTTTGTGAATAACCCTGTAGAAGGCCTTGGCCTGCCACCATAGACCTGAGACCTTCACCAGATCAAGCCACAAATGAGCAGCGAGACATCAGCCTGTAATCAGCTATGTCAGGGGATGTGGAAGTTTACCGAGTAATTCCCCAATGGACAGACATGACCCATAGGCAGGTCCAGATTAACCACCTCAGGGCCGGCCGTTGTAAAAAAACGGCCGGCCGAGAGGTCTCTAGATCTGAGCGGGCGTCTTTGGACGTCCGCTCAGCCACGACCACCTGCACGCGCTGCAGGGCGCGCGCAATCGGGAAACACCACCGATTTAAAAACAAGCACCGATGCCTGTTAACATACAAGCGATCCGCTGGCTATAGAGCCGGCGGATCGCTTGTATGAGCTGCCGGCCCGTGTCCCCCGCCTCCCTATGCGCACCCCCTTCCCGTTGTCACGCCGGTCCCGGCTCCACTGTGCCCGGTGCGAGCCCGGGACCAGCATACGGCCTCTGTCACAGGGGATCAGAGGGAGCTCAGTACACGAGCTCCCTCCGGTCCGCTGTCAGAATGCGGAACTGATGTATATGACATCACTTCCGCATTCTTGTGTCACTCTCCAGCTTCAGACGCTGGAGAGAAGAAGCCCCTCCCCCTGTCACGGCAGAGAGCAGTGACAGGATCGAGAGGTGAGCGAACCCGGTATGTGTTCGCTCACCTCCCGATCTACTGAGCCAACCTGTGACAGTCTCATTGTCACAGGTCGGCTAGAACTATGAGGTGAGTGAAAAGCACTCCTCATACTTCTCCTTTAAGAGCATCATGGGCCTGGTGCTGTCAGATGGGTAGCAGCAGAGGCGGCTCTCTAATTAGGTGTCCATTTGCTCCGTGCTACGGCCCTGCGAGGCCCCAACAAACTCCTGCCTAATATACCTGACTAGAGAGCTCCCAGTGCCTTTGCCTGATTGTGTTCAGCCCGGCCAGCTTGGATTGCCATCGGACATGCCGAGGCGATCTGGGCCTGCCGGGCCTATTTTCAGTGCTGGGTCTGGAGCTGGCGCTCCGGTAAGCCTATGTTAATTCGGCCCTACCCACAGGAAATCAGTAAGTAGACAGAAGGATGGAATCCTTCACACAGACCCTTCCCTAAATTGAAGCAGCCTGAGGTGGTTCTCTCAGGCGGCATCTCATTGGGTCACATGGAAAGTGGCAGGTGTGCCTGCTGCGCCCTTTCTGGCCAGAGTGTTCCAGGTTGCCAAGTGCTCGTAGCAACCTGTGCCGCTCTGGCAGGCATCCTGCCCAGCTCACTGACTGGGCATCCCGCCCAGCTACCAGCAATCAGTGATATCAGTGAGCTGGGTGGGCCACCAGACAGAGCTAGAGCCAGAGGTGCTATGCACCACCAGCACCGCCCCCTGGTAACGTGCACCGACGCCATCACACCACAACCCCCCCTATTTAACATGCACCACCAGCACCGCCCCCTGGTAACGTGCACCGACGCCATCACACCACAACCCCCCCTATTTAACATGCACCACCAGCACCGCCCCCTGGTAACGTGCACCGACGCCATCACACCACAACCCCCCTATTTAACATGCAGCACCGCCCCCTGGTAATGTGCAGCGGCGCCACCAAACCCCAACCCCCCCCTACTTAACATGCACCACCAGCACTGCCCCCTGG